CACTCTTGTAAATGCAGCACAACTGGAGAAAACAAAAAGTAAATCTGTTTACATTTCTGTTTCTACGGATGTTGAGATGTATCCATAGATCTCTTCATTTTGCTCTCAAAGTGCACCAGATTGATGCTTTTAACTTCAATATTTAAATGCCCCGGACCCGGTGAGGACCCCCCTAGAGGAGGTGAGGACCCTGCTAGAGGGTGTTAGGTCCACTCCCCACTTATAAAAATAGCACTTTACCACTGCACACTCTCTAATCTCAGATGCACCCCGAGTCATTTTGTTCTGGAACCAGGCCTACATCCATGGGTTAAATCTAAATTGTGTTGGAAAAACGATAGATCCAACCGGGCACGTCTCAACGCTGCTCTGGGAGCGCCTTGGTTACATTTTCCGAACTGGTAATACATTTCATACAAAACTTGAAAGAGATTTATTTTTTGCAAATTATCTTTTTTATTCAAGTTACCAAAACCAAATGAAAACAAATGTTTACATATCTGAAAATGATGTACTCTCAAGTCCAACAAACACTACAAAAATATATATAAAAAAACATAAAATAAAACCGTCCCAGAGGAACTCAAGCTTCCAAATATTCACAGATGATGGATTCGGGGTAACTGCACAAGTCTTCTGCTTAGAACAAAAAGTTTCACTTGAGAAAGGTCAACAATTACATAAAACCCCTCTGCTCAGTCTGCTGTCTGGTAATACTTTAAATACACTCGAGAAACACAAGTTACCACACACACGTGACGTGAGGCAGTTTAGTTTCCAAAAACCATGATAAGATGTTTGCAACTTAATATGGCACTTGTAGAGACTTGTAAAGGTGAACAACTCAAGGTGATTAAAGTAACATTTGTTTTTTTTCTCGCTTAACAAAAATTGTGTCGATTTATGAATTTAAAATCAAATTAAATATCCTGAGAATAAGAACAAAAATCGTGGCCTAAAATATTCTATAATCCCATAATAATTTGCCCAAACAAAAAAAACAACTCTTTTTTCAAAACGTGTTTTTAATAATTGCGATCCTCCACAAACTAGTTGAGATTTTGTTATTAGAAATTATGATATTTTTTTCTGGCTTCACTAAATGGGTGTGTATTTAACATTTGGTGTACAGAGCAAAATCAAATAAAAATATCCTGAGGATATCAGGAAACGATTGCCTGAAATGACACAAAATCCCAAAATCTATTTAATAATAATTTGCCCAAATAAAACCTCAGAAGTAAGCCCTCTTTCTCCAAAACCAAAAGTCATCTTTCTTTCTTTGTCAAAAAGTACTTTCAATTATTGCAGCCCCACAGAATAAAGTAGAGAGTTTGTGGTAGTATCTGAATGATGAGTGTGTGGGGGGTTTGACAGTAGAGTCTGACCTGAGGGGGCTGGATGTGTTTGAACGCAGCCATGTTTCAGCCTTTAATTACAGCACCACCCTCTCCGGCAGTTAGAAGCTTCCCAGTTGCCACAAACACTCCCTCACAAATAGAAAGTGGTTGGGGTTAGCCCACCCTGAGGGGCGGTGCCACAAGGACAACACCATCTCCTCTGACAAACAGCATGGGAATGTTCCTCTTGGTTGACTAAAAAAAAAAGACACAGAAAAAAAATGTATCTTTATATTGTTCTGTTAATTATTAGTATTATGTCCTCAAAGCGTCCGGCACTCAAACCCTTTTAAAACTGTGATATTCAGAATTAATATTTAATTAATACTTACACACCACGGTATACATTTACATTTGCATGATATATATATTGTCTTACACTGAGTACAATTTTACTTCAACAAATGTAACTTTGTATAAATATTTGTATTATTATTTTTCTCTTTTATTGGACATTTTACTTTAACTTCTTATGTTTACATACCAACATACAAAATGTACTTAACGACCAGGCTCAGCTCTGCATGAAGTCTGAGGGGTTTTCAGGCTGAGGCATCAAAGCACACGCAGTGCACACATGGAGTTTTCTTTCCTTCGATTAATAGACTAATGAAAAATGAGTCGTCAAATACTTTTTTTCATGGACTAACGTTAAGTTGACTGATTGAGGGCAGCCATAGTTTCCACATGTATTCCACAGACTGTGATCAAGACTTTGGTTTAAAGCCCGAGACCAAAGACACTGGGATCTTTATATTCCCATTTTTACACATTACGAAAAGAAAAAAAAACATGAATAAAAGGAAAAGTATTTAAATAACTTTAAATCAATCTTCCTGCAGTATTATGGAACTATATGTTGGCCACAGATACAGATTGCTGGCCATCTCTCATCACTCTTAACAGAAAAAGTTTAACTATGAACATCATTTTATATAAAACCACTGAAAGTGCAAATACTATTATTCACGATCTCGAGGAGGGAAAATCTAGAATATTAGATTCTATCTTAAAATGTCAATAAAGTGTGATAAAACATTGTTAATATTGTATGCCAAAATGAATAGGCATTTTAAATGCTTCTATTGATGTTGAATGTTCCTGCTGAAATAAAGTATAACAGCAGCATTGTTCTAGTGCTTCAGTAAGGCTCAGTACATGCAGACAGTTTTAGAAACCAAGACCAGCAAAACAGTAGTTGTTCAGTAAGAAGACATGAGGCTGTAACAAGGAGAATTCAAAGCTGTACCTTGTATAGTTCTTCATAGGTCTCCTCGTCGATCTCCACCGTCGTCACCGTCTCCTCCACGTCTCCAAGGATCATGTTCAGGTGCTGATCGTAGGCCTGGGAAAAACAAACATCAACAAGCATGAAGTGAGAGACAAATGTCAGACCTGCGACAATAAAACGTAGAATCCCACAACACACATACACTTCAGTGTTTTTTTAAGCAAATACTGGGTGTGTATCTTACATGCAGTCGACCACGGAGCTCCCGGTCATTCCTCATCTTCACGTAGATCCTCTCATCTAGACTGAGTCTGATCAGATCCAGAGGCTCCTCTACCGTGTTGGTAGACGGGGGCTGCAGCACACAAGTAAGGATATTAATTACACATTTTACAAATATAGATTTCAACAACTTCAGAAATAAATGCCAGTTCGGAGGATGGCTACTTCCATAAGGTAGTTTAAGCTCCCAAATCTTCATTATTTGGGGAAAAATGTGCGGAGAATCACAGGAGTAAAAGCCATCAGGACTGTATTTAGAGGTTTTCCCGAGTTCTCCTAAAACGTCAATTCTTTCTTGAAAGAAATATAAAACCACATAAATGTAGGAAAAATTACAAATGATGGTAAAGTAACAATATTAACAATCAGTACCTGTAAAAAGAAGGAATGGTGTGTAATTTCTAACTACCATTTTGGAGATTTGGGAAATACTTTTCAAAACAGAGGTAAGAGTTAGGCCTGTCGCGATAATCAATAAATTGACTTATCGTACGATAAATAAAAATGGACTCGATAACTTTTCTGAGATCGATAAATTGCCGTTTATAAGGATAAGGATGTGACCAGCATTTTAGCCCAGCGCACTATGAGGGGCGGGGCACACACACAGCCCATGACACAGCCAGGTCAGGACACTCCGCGTGCAACAGTGTAGCAGCCAAATTAATAATAGAGACAAGCAGGAGACACCGTGTGACTTACTCGAGGGGAATTTGAAGTTAAATGGAAGTGGTTGTAAAACATAATACCATTTGTTATAATTAAATGTTCAAATTCCCCTCGAGTAAGTCACACGGTGTCTCCTGCTTGTCTCTATTNTCCAGTCCTCAGTCGGAGGCGCCACGGCCGTCGTAGGTTATTATTATATCGCTGCCTGCCCGTCTGCTGCAGCGGGGGAGTCACTGTGGAATGAGCGCTCCCCTTAAGTTTTCTCCCTTTACCTTAACCAACGTTTCGGGATTTACACGGTGCGATTTATCTACACAGTGTGGAGAACCATACATTTGCCGGTTAAATGACTCCAGCACAGTCCTTTTTCATAACAACTACTATAGTCCAAGGTAAAATCAGTTGCTGAGAAACACTAGTCACTCGGCACTGCTTCTGCAAACGTACGCCTCTAAATAGCTAATAGGCCCTGATGTATCAATTAAAAAAAAAGGACTGGTTAGAAATGAATAAGTTAATAGGATAAAATGTTTTTTTACCTGTTTTTTACTTAGATTCATACAGACAAGACAAAGCCCCGCCCCTCACAGCGCGCGTGGCTAAAATGCTGTCACATCTTTATGTAAACGGCAATTTATCGAGCTCAGAAAAGTTATCGAGTCCATTTTTATTTATCGTACGATAAGTCAATTTATCGATTATCGCGACATGCATGTTAATTTTTTTTATGACAAATTCTTTACTTATTCAAATTATCCTATTTTACAACAAAAAAATGACAAAAAATGAATCTATATTTGCAGTCTTTTTCACAAGAGTCTGCAAGTGTTGCCAATATATTTTCAAATGATGGTATGATAAACGGGTAATATTAGCACTGTAACATTTTTACTTTTTAAATTAAATATATATTTTATCTCTCTTTCTAAATATGTAATAAATAAAAAATAAAAATTTCTCATATAAAAAACTGCCTTTTAGATTTGAGGCAAACGTATGGCATGTCTTTTTTATATTTATATAATTTATTCTATTTAAATCTATTTGAGCAAAGTGCCTATATTAAAAACATAAAAGAAAAAAAATACAATATGAAATAAAACTGAAATAATGCCTTTTTTTTAAAACTGGGTTTTGAGGCAAAGAGGCTTAAAATAAATACATTTAAATAAAAATAAATATTAGTTAAACATCGTAATTACTTCTAGTGTAAATAAAGAATATAGAAAATCACAGACACGACTTCAGGTCCGATGAAATGGGGAGGAATGCGTTCAGAAACATGTATCTGTGCGTTGCTCTCTTTCCTCTTTGCCCTTTTTAGGGTCATTCTTCGTTGTGATCCCCCTCATAATGTAAACACGTTAAAACAAACCCATGACAATCATTAACCAGAGATGAACTGCAGCACTTTGACGTCTCTAGTTCTGCTTTTTATCTCTTAAACCTCATAAATCAGTCCCTTTCAAACCCCAAGCTGTGCAGCGAGGCATCGTTTGACCCCTGTGAACTTTATTTAAAACTCTGGTGGAGATCATAAAGTCCCAGGAGACTCCACATGTTGGGATACGTGTATGACGTAATGAACAAATGTATCTATTTGACAAAAAAACTGGAAGTCAAAATCTTGAGTTTTGATATATTTGTTACTATGTAACTACATTTAAATAGTTTATTACTTCAATAAAGACTCCAAAAAAGGGTTATGAGTATATTAGAAAATGTCAGGCTGTGTAATAAGATGATCTTACCAACCGTATCTACATCCTGACATGTTGTGCTTATTATTCATTGATAACAATTGATAGTAAAGGAAGCTAAGGACTGGTAGCTTAGCATAATGAATAGGAGAAAAGGGGGGGCGGGGGGCTAGCCTGGAACAAAGTACATTTAAGGCCAAATTGAGTCCGTAAAGAATAAACACATTTAAAAAAGCCTTCAAACCCCTGCTGCTGTGTGGGTAGCTCTAGCCCCCGGGAAGTGCGCCGGACTCTGATGAAAATATTCGTAGTGTCCAAACGGCGGTACTACAACTCCCGTATCAGTCCGTGGCGTCACTGAAAGACTTTTCCCCATTGACTAACATCGGGAAAGAGACGTCTGTAAATCAGCGAATACTTTTTTTGTAACTAAATAAACTACCCAGTATGAACTATTTTATAGCCCTTATTAGATTCGGTCCTTAAAGTTGTAAAATGCACTAAAAGCCGAATCTAGATTTATTTTCTCTCTCCATTCATTCTGCTGAGCTGAGAGTGGGAGCTTGGGGGGCGGGGCTTAAGGGGCTCCTGCTCTGTGAGCGCACATGCGGGTTCTTCTGCTCTTGGCAGCCAGGCATGATGGGTAATCTGTGACGTTTCGCTCTCTCAAAAGCTGGGCCATTTTGCCCTCATGCACCAATGAGCAGCTCTCATAGGAANTTGTAAAATAGGATAATTTGAATAAGTAAAGAATTTGTCATAAAAAAATTAACATGCATGTCGCGATAATCGATAAATTGACTTATCGTACGATAAATAAAAATGGACTCGATAACTTTTCTGAGCTCGATAAATTGCCGTTTACATAAAGATGTGACAGCATTTTAGCCACGCGCGCTGTGAGGGGCGGGGCTTGCACACAGCAGTGCAGCATCCAAATTAATAATATAGCGACGAGCGGCAGACAACGTGTGACTTACTCGAGGGGAATTTAAAGAGAAATGGAATTGGTTACAAAACCTAATTCCACATGTCCGGTGTGGCAGTATTTTGGATTCAAGCCAAATCAACGAGGCGAACCTACGGACTTGAATGGGCCGGTGTGTCGCATTTGTTTTAAAAACGTAGCAACAAAAGCTAGTAATACGACCAACCTTAAACTGCACCTAAAACACAACCACCCCATTCCGTGAAAGGATGTTCTTGAATTATTATTATTATATATTATCATTATGTCAGTGGTCTAAAATGCTCTTACAACAGCCGACAATATTATCGTTTATCACAATAATTTCCGGGAAAATGTATCGTCCAACAAAATTAATGATCGTGACATTTTTATTCGTGGCCTAAAACTGCTTGAGATCTCCCTTCTTCTACTGTAGCTACGATTGTGCCGCTTCCACAGAGGTGCAGGATGAATATACTATCAGTTAAATAGGACAGGAGCAGACCCTGAACTTGCCAAGAAACAGAAGAGATTTGATTTGGATATTGAACTCACCAAAGTGCATTTGATGCCCACGCTCTCTGCAGCCTGGAAGGCTAAGGTGAAGTTTCTCCTCTGAGGAAAGAAGAGTCAAAGTCACAATAAGTGGATTTAGATTTGGACAATCTGCTGTCCTGGAAAGAGCACACTGAGTATATCTGCCAACGGACAAAACAAAGAATGAGTTATTTCCGCTGCTTGAGCTTATTTACGGGCGGGTAGACCATTTCCTCTTGTTTTTCACACCTATGATTGTGAGAGTTTCTACAGTATTGCCATTCTCCATGGTGCTAGCGTTAGTCCGCTGCTTTAAAGTCTAAACACTAAATGTGATCCATAAGATTGTAGATCAACCCTTTGAGAAACTATGAATAAGCCTATCATAATAAAAGCAAATATGAATTGTTACCATGACATCGGAGGTACAGGGTGCCACGATTTGATAAATTAAGACTACAGTCAATCCTAAATCAAATGTACGTTAAAGGGATTTGAACACATCGTCTTCAGCGATTGAAATGTTCAGTCAACTATTTGTGTCCTTGTTTCTTGTCTTATTGTTTGTCCTGTGATGTTGCCAATGGAGCTGATATAATGCAGGAAACCTTCTAGACTAGATCTGAAAATACAGTAAAATGGTAAAGTATTGTAAGGTTAGGTATGTTTATGTATAAACAGGGTTCATACACTTTTTCACCAATGATTTTCAATGACTTCTCCAGGACCTTTACCAAATTTTCCATGACCAAAAACATTACTCTTTCTCAGCGGTACCACTGAAAATGGTTTATTTGAACATGGAACAGGAAAATAAGGTCTGCGTATGAAACATGTTGGTCCTATCTAAAACAAATCAAATGGGCTTACTAGCTTCTACACGCTAAAGCAACAAAATCTCTCACCAGCAAAACACCTCGTCAGTTAAAAGCCATTTTACGTTTCATTACTATACCGTACAGTATTTATTATCATTATAGTGTTACTATTTCAGCGATTAGATAAAATATAAATTATATTTGATGCAACTTTAGTTACATTTCCATGACTTTTCCAAAAACTTTGGGAAAAATATTGTTTTCCAAAACTTTTCCAGGGCCTGGGATTAGCATTTTGAATTACCATGACTTTTCCAGGTTTTTAAATGACCGTAAGAACCCTGTGTAAAGCACATTGTCAGACACAGAGGCAATTCAAAGTGCTTTACCTCATCATTAACACTTAATAAGAAGACAGAAGAAAGGAACACAATACATAAACACAAAGGAATAACAGATTCATCAAAACGGGACATTTTGTCTTCAGTGATTGTAATGTCACGTTAACTGTCTGTTTCCTTGTGTCTTTGTGTTGCAAATGGAGCTGCCACGATACAAGGAAATGGTCAGACTGGTCCGATCTGATCCGACACTAAAGCATCAAAGCATCATATCATGCATGTTAACTCTTGCCTTGTCCTGGCTGCCGAGCTCCTGGTAGGGGATGTGAGCCGGCAGGTAGGTGTGCAGCACGGCGCAGAAAGCCAGCCCGTCGTTCCAGCTGCTGCTGAAGTTCGTGATGTCAATTTTCTGAGAAAAAACAACAAACGATTAGGAATGGGGGAAACAAAAAGGATCGATTGTCTAAATCAAAAGAAACAAGTTCGAATCACAAAAAGGGACTGGTAAATCTTTGTATAAAATGCATATACATGTTCGATCTAAATATAAAAGTATGACGTAGAAGAAGTAGATCAAATATAGCTGACAGAATTAAGAACTTCTTGAACCTTCTCACACTAACGCTGTAACAGTATTAAAGTTTGCAACTTATATATATCAATATTCCAATTACTTGCATAGATGAGAGTAACACCTACGTCACTTCCGGGCGAAAATTACGGCCCCGCCCACTTTTGGGGGAAAACAAAGCTGTCATTTGAACGGAGGTCAATACAAATTCTGAAGTTTTTGCCAATCCGATCAGACATTTTTAAAAACCGTGGATTTTCTGATCTTCAAAGAGCCCGGTTACGATG